CTAGGTTCCCCTACTCTTTCAAAAGTGGCGGCTCCCCCACCACCGAAAACCCACAGCAGCGATTGCCTTCCCCTCCAAGCTCGCCGACATACCTTCCCAAACCTACCTTACCTTACCTTACCTGACCTAGGTATTGCTCCCTGCTCTTACACCTCCCTCAGCCTCTCCCCCCCCTCACTTTCCGTCCCCTCCACAGCCATTCCTTTCCCCCTTCTCCTCCTCCAATCTGCTCAATCACGGCCGGGCATTGACCATTGGCCAGACCTGTATCCTGCCCCAGTACCGAGAGACCTGTTCGGCTGCAGCGTCTCGCTGACCATCGGACTTCTGGCACCTCACACCCTGCGCTAAAGGGAAACACGAGGAAACAGGTCACTGGCCAAAATTGTCGGTGCCGCGCCCCTCCACCAATACGATGACTTCGCGGGAGAGTAATGCGGCGGTGCCTGTCCGTCGTGTGACAGACCAGCTCGAAACGCCTTCACTCGACGATCGGGACTATCGCGTCATCCGGCTGCCCAACGAGCTTGAGGCTTTGCTGGTCCATGACCCTGATACGGATAAGGCCAGTGCTGCGCTTGACTGCAATGTGGGCAACTTCAGCGACGAGACGGATATGCCTGGCATGGCGCATGCCGTGGAGCATGTAAGTGCATCGTACCTCGCAAGCAGTCTCCTCTGAGGTTACCGGGCTCTCGTGCAAGTCGAGCCCCCTGCCTTCTGATCATGTGCTAATGAGCCACGCCTTGCCAGCTCCTGTTCATGGGGACCAAGAAGTATCCCGTCGAGAACGAATATAGTCAATATCTCGCCAACAACTCTGGCAGCTCAAACGCATACACTGGGCCGACTTCGACCAACTACTTTTTCGAGATCTCGGCCAGGCCCGCAAACGACCAAGAACCCACAGATCAGAACCCGTCAGCGCTGAAAGGGGCACTGGATCGCTTCGCCCAATTCTTCATCGAACCTCTCTTCCTTGAATCTACCCTGGACCGAGAGTTGCGCGCTGTTGATTCAGAGAACAAGAAGAACCTCCAGAGCGATCAATGGCGTCTGCATCAGTTAGAGAAGTCGACTTCAAACCCAAACCACCCTTATTGCCACTTTTCCACGGGAAATCTGGACGTCCTGAAGATCCAACCCGAAGCAAAAGGCATCAACGTGCGCGAGAAGTTTATGGAGTTCCACGACAAGCATTATTCGGCCAACCGCATGAAGCTAGTTGTTTTAGGCAGGGAATCTCTCGATGTTTTGGAAGGCTGGGTATCGGAGTTCTTTGCCGGCGTGTCGAACAAGAACCTCTCCCAGAACCGCTGGGAGAGCGAGGCGCCCTTCAGGAAGAGCGAGCTTGGTATCCAGATCTTCGCCAAGCCTGTCATGGATTCGAGAGAGCTCAATCTCTACTTCCCCTTCATGGACGAGGAACGCATGTACGAATCGCAGCCCAGCAGATATCTCAGTCACTTGATTGGCCACGAGGGTCCTGGCAGCATCATGGCCTACGTCAAGTCAAAGGGTTGGGCGAACGTTTGAGCGCCGGGACCTACCCCGTATGTCCCGGAACTGGTGGTATCTTTGACTGCCAGATCCGACTGACCGAAGAGGTGGGTGCAGTGAGAAACCACGCCCTTCACGTTCCTGGCTAACTCTATCGTCCCAGGGCCTCAGAACTACCAGAGGATCACGAAAATCTTCTTTCAGTACGTCTCGCTGCTGCAGGAGACCCCGCCTCAGAGTGGATCTTTGATGAGCAGAAAGGCTTAGCCGATGTCGACTTCATGTTCAAGCAGAAAACGCCCGCCAGCAGATTTACGAGCAAAATCAGCTCGGTCATGCAAAAGCCTCTTCACGCGAGTGGCTGCTGAGTGACACAGCAAGCTGAGGAAATTCGA